AGGAATGCGGGATATTGTAATGGACGCACCTGATACGCCCAAACTTTTCGCGTTTGCTAAAACGCATAAGCAGGGCCACAAATTGAGACCTGTGGTAGATAAGGCCACGGCCCCCACTCGCAAGTTGGAAGCATTCATGCACGATCTCATCTCTCCTAAGTTACAGGATTACCAATACACAATCTCCAATCCGGTTGAATTAATAGCTTGCCTCAAAAACTCCGAAAAGCCTGCGTACATCTCTGTTATGGATTTCCGTGCTTTATATCCTTCCATCCAATTACCATTATGTTTTTGCGCACTCAGGGATTTTCTATTCTGTAACGTTTATAACCAGGAGTTACACCAGCAAGTACTTGAACTAGCACATTTGATCTGCTACAGCTCTATTTTTCATTTCGGTGGAACCACATATGCGCAGGGCAGAGGAGTGCCTATGGGAAGTGCAGTCTCAGGCGACCTTTGTGAACTGGTAATAAGACAGCTGGAAGATAAAACAATTCCTGGTTTCTCCCACAACATCTTAGTATACAAACGATACATAGACGACATCATTATTTTGTGGAAAAACGACCCAGACATCACCCACTTTATTAATCAGATGAACGACAATCCGTATGACCTTACCATAGAGCTGGAACAACATAGTGATAAGGAGGTACATTTTCTTGATTTGAGCATTACGTTTGGAGGAGACACCTTGGAAACTTCTGTATACCGCAAAGCTTGTCACTTTCCAATGTATATCCCAGCGAACTCCTGTGACCCATTCAGATATAAAATGGCGGCCTTTAAAGCACTGGTTAAGAGGGCCCACACCCATTCTTCAACTCAGGAGGCATTAGTTCAAGAATTGAACTATATACTTAACATCGCCGGTCAGCAGGGATTCTATAACATGGTCCATAAGTTAGCCCGACAGTACAGCGTCGGCCTACCACCGCCAATAGTATGGAACAAGACCTACCTATCACAATAGTCACATACAACCCCTTCCTCGTATCCTTATACCAAAAAATCGCTAAAAAACAAGGATTACGACTGTCGTTCAGAAGATGTCCGTCTATGTTTAAGCTTTTACGCAATGAAAAAGATAAACCTAAGGAGGATAAGCTGCCAGGGGTATACGCTGTTCCCCTCGTGGACCACAGATTTGAGAGACAACTTATCTACATTGGTGCTACTAAGCGTTCGATTGGTGTCCGATGGGCGGAACACAGAAGTGACATCATCCACAACAGGGCTACTACTTCGTTATCCACGTATGCTTCGGACCCGGAAATTTCGGTAGACTTTGATAACGCTAAACTCCTCATTACCACTAAATTTACGGATCACATCAAATGGTTGGAACAAATGGAGATCTGCAAGGCATACAACACGTCTGAACCTATTAACTCGAGGGATGAAATTACCCTATCCCTTGCATGGCAGGCTCTAATACAGAAAGAAGATACGCATTAATAATGCGTTTCATAAATAGGATATAAACATCGTGCATCGGAATTTTTTATACCGAACATTTTTATTTTTTATTATATTTATTTACGGAATTCGGGAATGCACGTGATTCACATTAACGTTGAATTTTGACTTTTGAAATGTTGTTCAGAAGAATAATTTTTCGAATATCGCTATTTACGGGTCTTCGTTCATAGTTATTCTAAAGACGAAACGCTGCTTGAGAAAGGTCCTAGGGAAAGAACCAAAAACGTTCGCAGTACATTTTACGATTATTTAATATCGGTTATTGGTTTTAGTAAGTGATATTTTTGCACTCATTACTTCAGAGAGAATGGACATTGTCACTGTAATACCTTTGTATATCGAAAACGAAATCACAAACTCCTATTTTTACTTTCCTGCTCTGTTATCCATAACAGAGCTAAGAAAGTATGGCAATTGATCACAAAATGACCCCCCTAAGAGTTTTACATTTTTGAACTTAGGGGACCTTGAAATGTCACGAAATGAAAAAACGTTAAGTTTTTTTTCTGTATGTATGGATGTTAGTGTGTGTGTTTGTGTGACTTGATTTTGTTTACCCTCTTTGAAGCTTAATAACTTTTGTGCTTTCAAAAATTTCTGAAATTTTGTGAGTAGGTTTGTTTATTAGAGGATTAATGCTATTAAATTTTAGTGGTTAAAGATTGATGGGGTGAGGAGATAAAGAGTTTGTGTGTATCAAGTAGGGTTGAATTTAATAACAATTTTACTCATTATTAGCATTTACAAATTTTTAAAACCCATCCTTACCCTCAAAATTAAGTTTTTTGCCATATGATAATAATTAAAAAATGTAAACAGTTTTATAATGCAATATTGTAACAGATAGTGCCAACAAAATTTTAAATGTTGCCAGAAAAGTTAAGCAATTTGTTGCTGGAATTTTTACATTTAAACAGACCCACATTACATTTCTGGATTCCTTGTCTCAATTCATGGAAAATGGCAAAGTTTTATCAAAATCGGTCCATTAAATTTTAAGAAAGAACTTGATTCTATTAGCCCATACAAGAGTGCTAGTGACTGTGAAACATCACATGAACAAAGTTGTGCGATTCAGGTGATATTGCTTTATCATGTGCACTTGTGAAACAACCTTATATCTCGAAAATGAAATCATAGACCCCATTTTTATTGCATTTTTGGATTTGCCATTGCAATTAATGGAAAATGGCAAAGTTTAATCAAAATCTATTGAATGGATTTTAAGAATGAACACAATTCTGTAAGCCTCACAGAAGAAACTTCATTAATGCTCTGCTTCAATTATTTATAATTCATAAAAATAACTTAAGATACATATTTAAAAACTAAAATTAGAAAACAATTCATTTGGTAATTTTAGAAATATTTATTTGATTACAAGTAAGATATTTACTTAATTCATAAATAATATAATTAATTATAAAAATACTGTTATAAATTTTTGCTTCACTTTATTTTGGCCATTTATATTTAAGTAAATCTTTAGAATTACAGTAGAACTTTCAATTAACTGCAATGAATGGGAAAAATGTCATCACAATTAATCCACTACCATTTAAATCCTGTTCCTAATAAATGAAACAAATAAATTTTCAAAGAAACATAAAGAGAACAATGCCAACAACTATTTCATACAGTTATTTGTAATAAACTGGACACTTCAACAAAGTGTATCTTCTGCCCTTTCTGGCCAACAACCTATAAAGCAGATGAGTCAAAATGATTTGTAATGTAAAGTGAAACCACCACCAGATTAAATCAGGCTACTTTTCTGCAATTATATTAATTAATTACTAAAAAATTTATTACTAGAGGGAGGTGTTAAATGCTGTCTCTCATTAAATATTAATTTAATTATTAAATTTAATAAGAGATGGCAACTAGGCATCTTCTAGAAGATGGNTATAATTTTCTTTGAATAAATGTTATACATAAAATATTTGAGTATTTTTTCGGTGTGGAATGCATTATCATATTTTACATTAATTTATATGGGAAAAATTGTTTTGCTTAATGAGTGTTTTGCATTACGAGTAAGATTCTGAACAAATTATGCTCGTAAAGTGAGGTTCCACTGTATAATCACAGAAAAGTAACCCAATGTAATCCAGTGGTTGTTTGGCTTTACAAATTTATTGGGTTTTATGATTTTTTTTGTGATTTGTACTGACTTAATGAATTTCACGTAGACAATTTTGGCTTCCTAATTAATACCAATTCGTAATTTTCTACATTCTGATTAATTAAAAATTTGCAATAAATTCAAATTGTCTCTTTCTTTCTACAAATTGCTAATTACCTCTTGTTACTGAGTCATATATTTGCCAAGCACACAAGAAAATCTTTGGGTATTTTTAAATCATAGGCAACATTAATATCATAGTTTATCTTTAAAAATCTAGAAATTACAATATTTATTTTAAATAAAATATTAATAAAACTGAAAATGACAGTACAGTAAATTCCACTTAATGAACACACTTTGGGACTGCCTTAACTAATAACAATAACTGACCGATAATAACTAAATATTTTTTTAAATGTTAATTTATGTAAAAAATTTGCTTCATAAATCAAATCATATGACTGATAATGATTTATATTATATAATAAAATAGTCAACTTATTTTCAGAAATAGCCAATCATTATATAATATAGCTATTGCCAACGTATTATACAGAAATTTAAAAATTAAAATAATAGCAAGTTTTAGATCCAAGATTTCCAAGGTTTGTGAAGTGTTCAGATTTGATTATTAGAATATTTCTGTCAACAATTTCATTTTGTTATGTTATTTACTTCTTGAAGTTACAACTGTCATATGTCAATACAGTAGAGCATCGATTATCCGACCCCCGATTAACCGTCACATTAGTTAACCGACCGTTCTAGTCGGCAAATTTCAAATGTCCATTAGTGATGTGGACAATATTTGGCTATGTCCTGGCTACTTTAATATTATTTTTGTTAAATTTTTGTGTGCTTTAGCTGGCAACATTGGCTCGACCATGAAAGGGAGGCCAGTATTTAAACGAGACTTAATTTTCTAATTATGAATGGTTGTTTGTTTTGTGAGCAATAAAATAATTTAAAAATAATTTTTAATGATACAATAGCGACGATTATTATTTTTAAAAAAATTTTGTTAGGCTTAACATTGATGAAAATTCAATGCAAAGTAGGTTAATAGCAATATAATAATATACTAATTACATGGGATATACTAATATACTATACTAATAATGTAATTTTTTTTCATTCTTTTTGGTTATCCGACCAACCCGAGTCCCCAATTGAGTCGGATAATTGATGATCTACTGTAGTCTCATGTCAAAATGAAATATAAGTATAATAAGTTCTCCCATAAATGCCATCTATAATGTTTAATGTTATACTATTTACAAACTTTTAAGCACAATGGAAAATACCATTGCACAAACTCACTAATATTGTAATTTATTTCATTTATAAAAGCAAATTAATTATTTCAAAAATTAAACAAACTCACCAATGTTCAATTCTATCTTTCAAATCATTCAACAGATTCTGATTCAAAGTTTGCAACTGAGGAAAATAACCAAGGAAACAATTTATCATTTCTTCTGATATTATGGTTCCACCTCTTTCTTCATTGGCTTTTTTAATGCAAGCACGATAATCCTAGAAAATATAAAAATTCACATATTAGAATAGAGTGTAAAAAATAATCATTATTTCTTCTCAATTTACATAAAATTTGTTCAGAAATCCTAGAATAACTGCCTCTATGAAGATTCTTTTATATTGCAATTTCTATAAATTTACACATAAATAAAACAAACCAGAATAATACAGTAGATTCAATAACTGAAGAGGAAGAGAGAAGCATTTTACATTTACAAAGACCACCATTGTTTTAATGAAAGTGTAAATATGGAAATAAACAATATAGGAGTTGGACTTATAAACATTATAATTCTTTTATTCTACATATTAAACAAAATAACAAAAAATTGACATTATTAATGAAAAAGTCTCATAACAGAGGCTCCTTGTCAATGATTCATTGCATCTTTCTCAACAATGTTTTCAATGCAATCAACCACATCTAAAGCATCTTGTTTTATAAATGATGTATTTTCTAAAAATCTTGTTAAAAGCTTGAAAGCTTTTCTGGTTTCTCTATATGTAAGGATAGCAGGATATTTGGCTTGATAGGATTTACAATATTTCTTCCTTGTCTTCATTGATTGTATCTTGCAACATTTTAATCTTCAATAGACTGGAGTCACAATATATGAAACATGCAGCATAGAACCTTAAACCACTCCAGTAAACACTTTAATGAAAGTAAATTATGGAGAAACATTTTTAATCTCTGAGAAAGATATTCTTTCATCTGACATTCCAAATTGGAATGTATAAAAAACAGCATTACAAACATTTTGAATACATTCAAACAGAAAAAGTTTTTACTGGAGTGGTTTAAAGTTCTATGCTGTGTGTTGCTTGTTTCTTGCACTTAATTCTTTACTTCAGCAATGATGTCTTCAGATAAGTGTCTAGGTCATTGTTGACAAAATCTCTGAACAACATTTTTTCATCACTTATTGCTATAATGAGATTAGTCAGTCTTCTTTGATATAGTTGATGGATTCTGATAAAAATTCCAATTTATTCAAAGCATCGTAAAATTGTGACCCAATTTGTTGATTTGGTGACAATGGTACTTTGTTGAACTTCATTCAAAACTTTGTTAATTATTCATATTGCATTTGACAGGTTCAATCCAAACTCTTATAACTACTCTCACTTCCTCAGCAGTTTACTTACAAATATAATCAAACACCAAAGCGTTGACATCAATGTTTTCTTATTTGCTGGCATATTGTATTGACATTTCAGAAACATGAGGCTTTAAAGATTTTCCAATTAACAACAATGGCAGCTTTTCATTATCTGCCATGTTTGCTCCCAGAAGAAGAATTACAGGTTTTTGTTTTCAATCTCCTTTATATAGAATCATCTTTGATCATCATTGTTCTGTCTGGCAGATATTTAAATAAAAAAACACCTATGGATTGCATTACCAGTAAACAGTTTAGCAGTAATCAGGTAAAAAATGCATTGGTTAATTTACTAATAATTTGATATTTTTACTGGTAAATTTGATAAAAATTCATAGACATGCAATAAGCAACAGCTCATGAGAAGCACTGCAAAACTACAGCATCCTCAAAGAAAAATAAAATCACAAAAAATGTCTTGACTTTTATTATATTGTAATTATGTAAATTATTATACAATGTTAGAATTAATGTTTTATCAAACCAGATTAATCAAAATATTTTACAAAATCAAAACAATTTTATTAGTTGTGTGCCACACATCCTCCTGTGAGAGTATCCATATTAGATACCAAGCCACAATTGGTAATAAATTTTTAAGCCAAATATTTATCTGCAAAACTTTTAATACATAAAAATATAAATATGCATGAAAAACACAAGTGTCAAATGTTTTTATTTAAACCATAAAAATAGTATATATCATTTATCTTATAAATTAGTATTTATAGTTTTTTCAAATTTTTAAAGTATCATATTTTACAGCACTATGCTGGACAGTTTTGCAATTTGTTTTCACTTAACCAGTTGCAGCTCATGTCTATCTAATGTTGAATGTTGGGATGCTGTCACAGAGAGCATGCAGCATATAATCCTAAGAGAATCATTTTGATTTCATGTGTTTTGATCAGTGCAGGCTTAGATGAAAATATTAATTTTTTGAGATTTTATTTTTGTTAAAGATGCAGTTCCACAGTGCTGTCATGAGCTGTTTCTGCTTTAAGTGCAATAGTGATTTTAGTTGACAAAGTGAAAGATATTTATTTAATCATAGAAACTAAAAAAGCACAGCATGCTCTATTTCACAAACAACAAAAGTTTTGCTTTTCAAAATATGATAAAGGGAATTCAATTGGTCATAGAGCACTAAAGATTGTTTAGTTGTCAACTCACTGATGAGTTGGCAACTAAACAATCACTAGAACACTAAATTAACATTTGGATTCAAAATTTAAAAATCCTGCAACAAATTGCTGAACTTTCCCAGCAACATTTGGTTGTGCCATCTGTTATGATATTTTATTTTTAACTGTTATAAAATAACAAAAAGCTTAATTTTGAGGGTGAAGATGGGTTTTATAAAAAATTGTAAATGCTAATAATGAGTAAAATCATCATTAAGTCTGACCCTACTTGATATACACACAATCCCTTTATCTTTCCATCCCATTGACCTTTAACCACCAAAATTTAATAGCATCAATCCCCCTAATAAACAAGCCTCCTTACAAAATTTTAGATTTTTGACAAATAGCATAGGAGTTATTAAGTAAGCTTCAAAGAGGACAAACAAAATCATGTCCCAACACAGACACTTACATCCATACATACAGAAAAAACCCCAGATTTTTTTGCATTTCTCGACATTTCAAAGCCTGAGTCCAAAATTGTAAATATCTGGGGGGTCATTTTTTTTACCAATCCTCATATTTTCCCTCTGTTATATATAACAGACAGAAAAGTAAAAATTACCAATAATTTACTGATAAAGCAGTAACATTTTGAAAATTTTGCATTTATCAGTAATAAGAAGCTGGTAAATTTGCAATCACTAAATATATCTTTTTCATCTGCATTAAAAATATACGGGATAAAGCTTTTTACAATTTTTGGTAAGCTTTTCAACCATTTTGTGCAATCTCCCTCTTGCATTTCTGAACTTTCACTACAGATTTTAGGGGCCATCCATAAATTACGTAGGTATTTTGGGGTGGGCGGGGGTTAAGGATTTCTTACTCAAGAGTGGGGGTAATAGATCTAGTCTTAAGTAATATTCTTATTTTTATTTTTTGATTTCATTAAGTGGTGGCATTTAGAATTTGACTTCAATTTGGCGGATTCTATTAAGAATGCTTATTGTCTTGTGTGATGTGATAGAGTAATAACAGCCACGTTTCTTTATGCAGCACTCAAGAAGCACTTTACAGCAAACACACTGAAACTGGTTTCTAATTGGCAAACACTGCTCATGACATCATTTCGCTACACTCTCACTGCATAAAGAAACGCAGGAAATGCTAGCAGATTCACACTCTATACATTTTTTGTCATAGGAGAAAGGCCATGTGGTGGTTTCTCTCTTGTTTTTTATTAGAATAAGTGCACCACTCCTATGGGTGAATAACACTAAGAATACATAAACCAAAATACATGATACAAAGTAAACATAAAATTAGTATTCAGCTTTTAGTGAAAACTAAAATGTGAAATTATAGTCTCTTCTTCATATTTTTTTAACATAATTGTAAAAAGCATAAAACAGTGGTTTCTGAACAAGCTTATCGAGTGGACATGGCCACCTGAAACCAAGTGTAAAAATTTCTAATTTCAGAATAAGTCTATCTTGATCGTAAATTGAACAATGATAGATCATATGGTCGACAGTGTCTAGGTTTTCTGTGGAGCAAAACAAGAAGCAGTTTCTGCCAGGTAGCTTCTATTGATAAAATTACCATGCTCAGTAAGTAGTTGAGCAGTAGCAAATGTTAAATCTCTAAGTGGTGATGAGAACGTACATTCAACACTAGGAAAATAAAGTCTTGTTATTCTACTAGTTTTACTGCTAAACTACTTTTACTGATTCCACTTTTGTATAGCATTGTCATGAATATAATTTTTAAGGCTGCTATATAAGAGAGGGATGAGTGTAGTCCAAATCAGTGTCCTTTGCAGCTGACTTAGCCTCAAAGTAGGCTTTCCTAGTATGCCAGTATGGCCAGGAACAAATATAGAAGTTATCTTATTTACATGATTTTTAATATGGTGCTGAATATATGTGATTTTATTGCTATTGCAATTGGGATTTAATAGAGCTTTTATGACAGACTGAGAATCACCGTAAATGTTGATAGAGAGTTTTGTTTGGTAGTAGGGTTTCTCATTTCTCGGTCTTTTGCTTGTCCCGGAATTCCGGGATAAAAGTGAACTGTTTCCCGGGATCCCGGGATAAAATCAATTATTTTTAAGGTATACAAAATATCTTGAAATTAAATTATATAATTATTTTTCATTTTTTAAAGTAATTTTAAAGTTCTGTATCATTCAAAATCATACTAATAATGCTGTGTAAGATATATAATATAAATTATCTTTGAATTACGTAGAAATTTTCACAAATAGAAAAAAATTTATTAAAGTTTGCTAGAAACTGCATACAACAACAACAACAAAAATGCTTTGAATTGAGTTAAAAATTAAAAATTGAACTTAGATCAAACTTATAACTTAGAAGGTAATTTTCGTTTTTTAAATAAAATATAATACAACTTTTATAAGGTTTTAAAAAGCAAAGATGATCAATACTCCAATCACTCACTCTAATTCTTATTTTAGTAATGAAAGTCTTACTACTGAGAATGCCCTTTCCGATTCAATTGATGTGACTGGAATAGTGTTTAATGCATTTAAGAGAAGACAGATATTATGTGTTTTTTCACCTGTAGTCTGGAAGATTTCAAGTTTGTTTTCCAGATTGTAGTACTTCTTTTGCTCTCTAGTATTTTTGATTTGTCTACCTCGGCTGCTTTAATAGTGGCATCAAGCTTACAGCTCAAT